TGCACAGGTGACAACCTATCACGGGACCACGCTTGGAGTCACTGAGCTCCTGAGAGCGACCCATTCTTTCACAAATGTTTATAGAAGCAGTCTGCATGCCTAGGGGCTTGATTGTATACACCTGTGTCCATGGAGGGGATTGAAGCACCTGAATCGCATGATTTGGAGGGCGGGCCCAATACTTTTGGCAATATAGTGTAGTGTGTGTGTGTATGTATAATATATATATACAGTGGGGATGGAAAGTTTGGGCACCCCAGCTAAAAATTTGTATTAATGTGCATAAAGAAGCCAAGGAAAGATGGAAAAATCTCCAAAAGGCATCAAATTACAGATTAGACGTTCTTATAATATGTCAACAAAAGTTAGATTTTATTTCCATCATTTACACTTTCAAAATAACAAAAAACAAAAAAAATGGCGTTTGCTAAAGTTTGGGCACCCTGCAGAATTTATAGCATGCACTGCCCCCTTTGCAAAGCTGAGACCTGCCAGTGCCATGGATTGTTCTCAATCATCGTCTGGGAAGACCAGGTTATGTCAATCTCAAAGGTTTTAAATGCCCAGACTCATCTGACCTTGCCCCAACAATCAGCACCATGGGTTCTTCTAAGCAGTTGTCTAGAAAACTGAAACTGAAAATAGTTGACGCTCACAAAGCTGGAGAAGGCTATAAGAAGATAGCAAAACGTTTTCAGATGTCAATATCCTCTGTTCGGAATGTAATTAAGAAATGGCAGTCATCAGGAACAGTGGAAGTTAAAGCAAGATCTGGAAGACCAAGAAAAATATCAGACAGAACAGCTCACAGGATTGTGAGAAAAACAATTCAAAACCCACATTTGACTGCACGATCCCTCCAGAAAGATCTGGCAGACACTGGAGTTGTGGTACACTATTCCACTATAAAGAGATACTTGTACAAATATGGTCTTCATGGAAGAGTCATCAGAAGAAAACCTCTTCTACGTCCTCACCACAAAAATTATCGTTTGAACTTTGCAAATGAACATATAGACAAGCCTGATGCATTTTGTAAACAAGTTCTGTGGACCGATGAGGTTAAAATTGAACTTTTTGGCCGGAATGAGCAAAGGTACATTTGGAGAAGAAGGGGCACAGAATTTAATGAAAAGAACCTCTGTCCAACTGTTAAGCATGGGGTTGGATCAATCATGCTTTGAGGTTGTGTTGCAGCCAGTGGCACAGGGAACATCTCACGAGTAGAAGGAAAAATGGATTCAATAAAATTTCAGCAAATTTTGGACGGTAACTTGATGCCATCTGTGAAAAAGCTGAAGTTAAAGAGAGGATGGCTTCTACAAATGGATAATGATTCCTAAACACACCTCGAAATCCACGGGGGATTACATCAAGAGGCATAAACTGAAGGTTTTGCCATGGCCTTCACAATCTCCTGACCTCAACATAATTGAAAATCTATGGATAGACCTTAAAAGAGCAGTGCGTGACAGACAGCCCAGAAATCTCAAAGAACTGGAAGACTTTTGTAAGGAAGAATGGGCAAAGATACCTCAACCAAGAATTGAAAGACTCTTGGCTGGCTACAAAAAGCGTTTACAAGCTGTGATACTTGCAAAAGGGGGCAGTACAAGATATTAACTCTGCAGGGGGCCCAAACTTTTGCAGATGCTATTTTTTTGTTTTCTGTTATTTTGAAAGTGTAAATGATGGAAATAAAATCTAACTTTTGTTGACATATTATAAGAATGTCTAATCTGTAATTTGATGCCTTTTGGAGATTTTTCCATCTTTCCTTGGCTTCTTTATGCACATTAATACAAATTTTTAGCTGGGGTGCCCAAACTTTCGATCCCCACTGTATATATATAGATATATATATATATATATATATATATATATATATATATTTTTTTTTTTTTAATGGAGTGTTAAACCTTGGAGTTCTACTTTAAAATGGAGGAAGGCGCCTTCATGTGAAATTCTGGAGAGGTTGAGGGAGGCCCCATATGTATGGTCTGTTCTGGTTGGAACTAGATGGATCCGAGGCTGTTTTCTTCACTGATAAAATATGCAATCTGATTACAAATCCCCACAGTGACATTAAATTTAATAGCTGGAAGATTGGAACAGAATGGAGCAGACAGGAATGGCAACCATCCCACAATTAATCATAGCTAATGAAGGCTGCAACTCCCCGCCCCCAGCTAAGAAAATGTTTCCTTTCCCCTCGCTGGTTTTGGTTCTGCTGCCTTGTAAATGGCATGCTGGGACTTGCTATTCATTTCTGATATTGGTTAAATATAGCTTAGTGACCTAAAGCACAGCAGGTATGTGCTTTGCACACTTGCCTTGCAGCACTGGGGTCCTGGCTAAGGACACATCCTAGAGTCCTCCCAATTCTTCTTCCAGATGCTCCTGTTTCTTCCTCCAATCCAAAAACATACCTACTTCCCCAAACGGCCCCTGCTCTGTGTGCCTGACTGCAAGGGTCCTCCCTGCAGGAGACCAGATTGAATGATTAAGGAGCCGTGGAAATGTTGGGAACAAAACTAATTGATAACTTTGACCACTTGATTCACAGGCACCATTTTAACAACGGGACCAAGATGATTCTGCAGTCCCATTTGCATTCTAGCTCTAGAACTGCCAGATGTCAGCCGGAGACCGGCACTAGGCCCTGGGGTTAGGACAATCAACTCCTGGACTTCCAATACTTCTACAGATCACTTCATTGTGCGCTTTTGGTGCCCTTGCATAGCAAAGTGACAGTGTCTCTAGAGAGGGGCATTCCCCAACCCCCATATACTTACCTTACCCCTGCCCCCCCTAGCAGCAACGTCTTGATTTGCAGCCGGTGAACCTACCCATCACTACTGCTGAGTATGGAGGAGCATCTGACCTACACCCCTGTGATGGTTGCTGGGCCTGGTTTGCACAATCACATGACCAGCATGGCTGGATCTAGGGGGGTGCTGGGGTGGGCTGTGCCCCCCTCCCCAGATTTCAGTTGCACCCTCCCCCCCCCAAAGCTTCCCCCCTACCACCCCACACCTGATACTGTGCCCTGCCACCCCCATCCCTACACTGTACACAGTGTTTAGCAGCTGTGCTGCCATTCCAACCAGGGAATTTTACAGGTCAGAAGCGCAACATACTAACAAGCTCTGTCATCTGCCCTGCCAGCGCTGACCCCTGTCCTGTGCCCTGCCTGCAGTGACCCATGTCTTGTGCCCTGCCTGCGCTGACCCCTGTCCTGTGTCCTGCCTGCAGTGACCCCTGTTCTCTGCCCTGCCTGAAGTGACCCCTGTCCTCTGCCCTGCCTTCAGTGACCCCTGTCCTCTGCCCTGCCAGCGCTGAACCCTGTCCTCTGCCCTGCCAGCGCTGAACCCTGTCCTCTGCTCTGCCTGCACTGACCCTGTCCTCTGCCCTGCCTGCACTGCTCCTGCCTGTGCCCTGCCTGCACCCCCTGTCCTCTGCCCTGCCTGCAGTGACACTGCCCTGCCTGCCCCCTGTCCTCTGCCCTGCCAACGGTGAGCCCCTGCCTGTGACCCTTGTCCTCTGCCCTGCCTGCTGTGACCCCTGTCCTCTGCCCTGCCTGCAGTGACCCCTGTCCTCTGCCCTGCCCTGCCTGCGCTGAACCCTGTCCTCTGCTCTGCCTGCACTGGACCCCTGTCCTCTGCCCTGCCTGCACTGGCCTGTCCTCTGTGCCCTGCACTGGCCCCTGTCATCTGCCCTGAGTGACCCCTGTCCTCTGCCCTGCCTGCTGTGACCCCTGTCCTCTGCCCTGCCAACGGTGAGCCTTGTCCTCTGCCCTGCCTTCTGTGACCCTTGTCCTCTGCCCTGCCTGCTGTGACCCTTGTCCTCTGCCCTGCCAACGATGACCCTTGTCCTCTGCCCTGCCAGCGGTGACCTCTGTTCTCTGCCCTACCAGCAGTGACCTCTATCCTCTGCCCTGCCAACGGTGACCTCTGTCCTCTGCCCTGCCAGCGGTGCCCTCTGCCCTGCCAGAGGTGATCCTTGTCTGCTGCCCTAATGATCCCCAGTAAACTTCCTTCCCAATTCCTATACTTTGCCCTTCTGACCCCTGTATACTGTCCTAAAAACGAATAGTCCGGCACACTGCCCTACAAACTGATGATCCTATTCTCTGCCTGCTGACCTACTATCCTCTGCCCCCCCTGACATTTTTTACTGCACCCCCATATCAGACAGGCTAGATCCAGCCCTGAGGACCTGGAGAGTGAAGTCCCCACTCCCTGGGTCATCAATACTAGTGACCTCACCAAGGAGCTGTGAAGGAACACAGGTAATGAGAGTATGGGGGGCAGGGGGATTCCCCTTCCAAAGATACTCTTACTTTGTCCTATATGGCCAAGGTATTGGTGTCTGTTAAAGAGAACTGGTCACCAACTAAAATAATTGCAGATGACAACATAGAAACTGAGACTTTTGGACGTCTACACAAGGGAGGCTTTTACAGTGAATACCAGGCATAAAATGCACATCTAACCATATGGGAAGATTGCTGTAAGCCCCTCACCCTCCAGAGGATCCCCCCCCCCCCCCTCCTGGCCAGGCCACTTTTTGTGATACGGCGCTGCGTTATTTTAACTGACAGTTGCACGGTCATGCAACGCTGCACCCAAATGAAATGTACGTCCTTTTTCCCCACAAATAGAGCTTTCTTTGGTGGTATTTGATCTCTGCGTTTTTTATTATTTGCTCTATAAACGAAAAAAAGACCGACAATTTTGAAAAAAAAAAAATATTTTTGACTTTTTTCTATTAAACATGTCCAGTAAAAACATTTTAAAAATAAAATTTCATAAATTTAGGCCAAAATGTATTCTGCTCCATGTCTTTGCTAGAAAAAAAATCCCAATACGTGTAAATTAATTGGTTTACGTGAACGTTATAGTGTCTACAAATGGCGGTATATATACTGGAATTTTTTTTTACATTTTTTATTTTTACTAGTAAGGGCAGCGATTAGCGACTTATAGTGGGACTGAGGCGGGCATTCTGACACTGGGGGGGAACTGACTTGGTGTCACTGACATCCCCAATGACACCAATACAGTGCTAATAAAAAGCACTAACACTGTTCCAGGGGCGGACTGACAACTCATGGGGCCCCAGGGCAATAGGGGACCATGGGGCCCCTGTGTCCTTGCCCAAACTCAAAAAAAGCCTATGAAAGAGGTACAAGGGGCATCTCATGGGGCCCCCTACTGACCCCGGGCCCTCGGGCAGTGCCCGAGTTTCCAAATGGTCAGTCCGCCCCTGCACTGTACTAATTACACTGGGAAGGAAGGGGTTAACGTCTGAGGGGATCAAAGAGTTAACTGTGCGCTGTTTTACATAATATGCTGTGATTCACTGGAAGCAGACTGCTTTGTATGGCTGTGCCATGCAGAGACATACAAAGCAGTGTGCAGGAGCTGACAGGGGAGAGATCTGTGTTGTTTATACACAGGTCTCTCCCCCATTGGAGATACTCGGCGATCACTGTGTGCCGGCGAGTAATCAGCAGCCGGGACCTGGTGATTGACAGCCAAGGCCGTGAATGACGGCGCGCCCCCTACCCAGAACTGCAAAATCACATATATATACACGTGATTTTGCGCACCCGTGCTGCCCTGCAGCAGTATTTCTGCTATAGGGTGGCACGGAACCAGTTAAAATTAATGATCTGGTGACAGGGACTCTTTAAAAAGATGAATGAAAAACTAAAAACCAGAAATGTTACTATTACCATATGCAATGGGGTTGATTTACTAAAGGCAATTAGACTGAGCACTCTGCAAGTGCAGTTGCTCGAGCTTAGTAAATAAGCACAAGCTCTGCTGACTTCCATCATCCAATCATGTGCAAGCAAATATGCTGTTTTTTATTTTCCCTACATGTGATTGGGTATTCTTTGCAAAGGCAAGCTTTACCTCATTTACTAAACTCTGGAGCAACTGCCCTTGCAGAGTGCACAGTCTATTTGCCTTTAGTAAATCAACCCCATTATGTATCCAACATGCTTTTTTTTTTTTCTTTCCTTGCTTTTAAATTATGACCCGGGACTGTGAAGACATCTTGTGGCAGTTTTGCATACTGCAGAATATCTACTGTACGTCCGATTTCAATCATATGTGACAAAGTAGGTCAATCCTGGGTATAGGTTGTGTGAATCCTGGGTGGAAAAGGTCATTTTTAGAAAGTCAAAAATGTTTACTATACACAGTTCATTCCTATAATTAATGTTCGGTTTGAGTCTACACTTAGCTCCTTTCCTGGAAGTGGTAGTAAAAATTTGTGTATGTGTCCATCACCAGCACTACGAGGTGGTATCAAAAACTTTTGAGACTAGTTTTGTAAAACGCCAACAGACGGCAGCACAAGGCTGCAGCACAGTCACAGGGAGCACCAACATTCATAAGTCAGTGTGCCAAAGGACATTAGGGTTGATTTTCTAAAGGCAATTAGAGCGTGCACTTTGCAAAGTGCAATTGCACTGTACATGTGCAGTTGCTCCAGAGCTTGGTAAATGAGGTAAAGCTTCCCTTTGCCAAGAATACCCAATCACAAGCAAGGAAAATTAAAAAAAAAAACAGCATTTTTTCTTGCACATGATTAGATGATGAAAGTCAGCAGAGGTTCTGCTCATTTACTAAACTCTGGAGCAAATGCACTTGCGCTTTGCAAAGTGCACAGTCTCATTGCCTTTAATAAATCAACCCCATTGTTCTGTGTACATCGAGAGCTGTGCAACTGGTGCTATTCTGATCACATGCGGTACCATGTCTGCTATTTCATCATGGACAGCAAGTTAGAACAAAGAGCAAATGTGAAATTCTGCGTGAAACCCGTACACACATGTTTTGTCACCGGTAATGATCCTTGATATGAAGGAAGTGTCATCCACGACACGCTGATGGAATTCTTGGCAGACTGATGCAGTGTTCCTTCTACTCCTGGATCAGAAGCCTGGGGACGAACTTGGCAGCAACATGGCACATGTTCAAATCACACGTAAGGATTGCCTGGACTGTTCCGTATGACACACCAACATTGGCAGCAATGTTGTGGATTGTTCTCTCGAAAGTCATCATGCATCAAGTTGCCAAATGGTTTAGACCAGGGGTGTCAAACTTCATTTCACCGTAGGCCGTATCAGCAGTACTGTATGGTTGCCCTCAAAGGGCCGGTTGTATCTGTAAGACTAGATGTCCAGAGCACCCCATCCTCCAATACATCAGATGTCAAGAATCCCACACAATGCCTAACTTTGCCGTGCACCCCCTTTGGGGGCAGAGCTGGAAAGCAGAAAGTGCAGTGTCTGGAGGAGGACCAGAGGAGAAGTGGAGTCAGTTATCAGTCTTCTGAATTCTGAGATCGGGGGAGGCAGTGATGAGGGGGTGCTGCAGCTGCACTGAGAGGTGAAGGATTTGACAGAGGAGTTCTATTCTGCTCTCTCTGCTGAGACAATGTGGGGGCGGAGACAAGAGGGTACCTGCAGGAGAGGTGCAATGGCCACATGAAATGGCCTGGAGGGCCGGATTCGGCCCACGTGCCTTGTGTTTGAAACCTGTGATTTAGACATTTTGGGGGGTTGAGCTCGTTGAAGGTCTTCCTGATTGCTTGTCATCTTCCAGTGATGTTCTTTTGCTCTTGTAGCACGCATGCAGCTCAAAACACCTCGAACAACTCATTGCAGCATTGCCGTAAACTTGCCGAATCATGTCAAACATCTCTGTGGCAGATTTGTCCAGTTTCATGCAGAATTTCATGTTATAGGGTTATATCTCCTGTCAGGTTTTTTTTTCCCATCTATGTCCCATTGGGGTGATTTCCCTTCATTTCCTGTCTCATAGCCAAAACAGAAAATGTGAGGAAATCTCTCCAAAGTGAGGGAGTCATTGGTTTTCATCAGAACTAGTGTCCTCATTGGAAGATTTCCCCTGTTCTAAGGAAACCCAAATAGGGGATTTTCTTTACCTTTCACTTTCGGCGAACTTTTGGCCGACTTGAGAAGAAGTCGGAAGTGACGAAACGTGTCAGGGCCGTGACGTCAGGCGCAATACCGGAAGGAGCGGCTCGGCCATCTTTGTTGTTGGAATTTGGCTGTGTAAACTACTGGAAGGATGGACGGTTCCTATTTTGATGTAAGATTTTAATAAAGTCTATGTGTTACCCTTTTACACTCCATTGAACTTGTCCTTTCTGCCTTATGAGGAGTGGGGGAGACTGAAGTGGATATATTCACAGGGAGGAAGCTATAATTACCCTGGAATGCTTGCATTGCTCGTTTAAGCAGAGAGAGGGTAATGCAGGCCATAGATGGGTCGAAAATCGGCCGATTTTTCATTAAAAAACGAAAAATCGGTCGTTCAAGTGGCCGACATTACCAGCAACGGTAAAAAAAAATCGGCCGATTTTCATCCTGTCTACAGCCGGCAAAAAGTGTCCCTGCAGAGAGCTCCGCTATTTCTTTGACAGTTCCTTGACATTTATAGCGGTTGCAACAATGTATTTGTATCCATTTAGGATACAGATGTTTTTATTCGGAAACAAATAGATACATTGTTGCAACCGCTATAAATGTCAAGGAACTGTCAAAGAAATAGCGGGGCTCTCTGCAGGGAGATTTTTTGCCGGACTGGAATTCCTCTTCTTCTTCATACTCTTCTTCTTCTTCTTCTTCCTCTTCTTCATCCTCTTCTTCGTCTTCATCCTCTTCTTCATCTTCCTCTTCTTCTTCATCCTCTTCTTCATCATCCTCTTCTTCATCATCTTCTTCTTCATCCTCTTCTTCATCATCCTCTTCTTCATCATCCTCTTCTTCTTCCTATTCTTCTTCTTCCTCCTCTTCTTCTTCATCCTCTTCTTCTTCATCCTCTTCTTCATCCTCTTCTTCTTCCTCTTCTTCTTCCTCCTCTTCTTCTTCCTCCTCTTCTTCTTCCTCTTCTTCTTCCTCTTCTTCATCCTCTTCTTCATCCTCTTCTTCTTCATCATTCTCTTCTTCTTCCTCCTCTTCTTCCTCTTCTTCATCCTCTTCTTCATCCTCTTCTTGTTCCTATTCTTCTTCCTCCTCTTCTTCATCCTCTTCTTCTTCTTCATCCTCTTCTTCTTCTTCCTCTTCTTTATCCTCTTCTTCTTCCTCTTCTTCATCCTCTTCTTCTTCCTATTCTTCTTCTTCCTCCTCTTCCTCTTCTTCTTCTTCCTCTTCTTCTTCCTCTTCTTCTTCTTCTTGTCCTTCTTCTTCTTCTTCATCCTCTTCTGCTTTTTTCTACTTCTTGCAGGTCACGGCTCATGCGCAGATTTTTTATCGGTAAAAAGATCGGCCGATTTGCCCATCATTGCCGCGAAAATCGGCCGATCGGCAAAATCGGCCGATTTTTTTCCAACATTACCGATAAAAAAAATCTGCCAAAATACCGAAAAACGGCCGAACAATTAGCCCACTAACGGTCCGAAAATCGGCCGATTTTATTTTCGGCCGAAAAATCGGCCGATTTTTGACCCATCTATGGCCTGCATTATTGTACTGAATCCTACTAGAGTGTGGAACCACTAAATTGAGCACATTATCACAGTTGTGTAATTTGCTGTGGATTTATTTCACGAGTGGAAGGTCGCGGATTGTTCATTTATAATTTGAAGTATTGAGTGTGGTATTCAATGTTTATTTAGTTTCACAGAGTGCTGTGTATTTTGATTCACAATATATATATATGTGTATATATATAATTTAAAAAGTTTTTTTTTTTTTTTCTTCACGAGTGGTTTGCATAAAATTAAAATATTTTTGATTAAGGGTAATGCACTATATGCAGTTTTTTAAATTTATTTTTGAGGTATCCTGGATTTTCCCACGATATTTGGAAGATTGAATAATAATTGTTGTGGAAATTTTGGACTATATTTATTTTGGACACTTTGAACTCACGTTGGTCACTTACAGGAAGATTAATATTGTATACAGGTTATGTAGAAAAGGTTTTGATCATTGCACTTTCAGGGGTGAAAGGTCGACTTTTCTTTGGGGTATTACACTTAGAGTCTTGTTTATTATTATTATGATAACAAATAAGAGAGGGTGAACTGAGCAAATGAAGGGAATCCATTGTGGCCCGTCAGAACTAGTCTCCCCTTTGGAAGAATTCCCCTCTATTACTTTTCTGGGGACAACCCAAGATTTGGGATTTACTTTCACTTTCAATGATAATGGTAAACAAGACAAATAGAGCGGGTGAATCTCCCTAAACGGGCACAGACAGCGATAAAAACTGAGCCGATATCATTTTCCAATTGTTGGTTGGAATTCGGGA